ACATGTTAAATGACAGCAGCCAAAACTGGCCCCACCAGGCAACTGCCCATTCACAGAACGCTATTCACAGGCCTCCACCACCAAGAAATTAATTCATTAATAATACATCAGGCTTCATGGACGATTCAAAGGAACACAAAGCTACTTGTTCAATGACTGCCTAAAGATGCAGAATTTTTTCTGGTTAAAAAATCCCCACAAATCTAATTGACTTACTAAATCAAAATTATGGGGATGTTTATGATAATATTTGGGTTAGTAAAAAAGAAGAAATGGATGAGGTATATTGGCTGCATTCACTCAGTGCCACTTGGAGATAATAAAAATACAGATTTTTTTCAGCAAGTTAATAAAATCTAATTTTATATAATTGTGTGTTTAAAAAAATTTTTTTTTTACTTCAAGTGACTTTGTACATCCTTCAGACTATGAAGAAAAAATTTTCTTATAACTTGTTTCTTCTGTAACATTTTGTACCCACTTCTTTCTTACTCCTCCCTTCTGACAACTCATAAATATGAATTAAATATAATTATAAATGAACAGAACATTAACTTTTGGATTACTGCTGTGTTTTGGTAGAATGTTAATGTCATTTCTAAAGAAACAGTTATTACCAATAGAAAAAGTAATTACTAAAGGAATCCTGGCCCTAATACTAACCTATTTTCAATTTTCAAACCAGCCAAACTGAATTAATTTAAACACACTGGACTTTTCAAAGAAGGTATCAGATTTCTAAAGATTGCCTTACATAAAAGAGGAATATCAGTTTTCAGGATCCCAACAATATATTCCCAACAATTTGAAACACAGGTCTAGCTGACAATACCGCTGAAAGGACAGGACCATTGTGTGCATATGGTTGTATTAACTTACTGAGTTTCTAATGCCTCAGTCATTAACTAACACAAGCTGCACGTACCATGAAATCCCACATCACAAAAACCTGTTTGTGGGAGTGGTTAGAGCTAGACACTGTGGTTGGACACTGTGGGTCTGCAGGTCCTGTCTCCCTTTAACCACCTGCAGTTATGTGCTGTGACAGGAACAGGTCATCCTTGGGATGCTGGGAATAGGAGGGGGATGGTATTCCTTTCACTTCTTGCTAACTTCAGAAGCCAGAATCATGGTAAAGTCTCTCAGGTAAAAGATGAGTGGATATTAGTTCCTCTGAAGTTGGTTAATCCCATTTTTTTCTTTTTTTTTTGAGACACAGTCTCACTCTGTCATCCAGACTGGAGTACAGTAGCATGATCTTGGCTCACCGGAACCTCCACCTCCCAGGTTCAAGAGATTCTCCCACCTCAGCCTCCCAAGTAGCTGGGACTACAGCCACGTGCCACCATGCTTGGCTAATTTTTGTATTTTTTTTTGTAGAGATGGGGTCTCACCATGTTGCCCACTCTGGTCTTGAACTCCTGAGCTCAAGTGATCTGCCTGCCTTGGCCTCCCAAAGTGCTAGGATTACAGGCGTGAGCCACCACGCCTGGCCTAACCTCACTTTTGAATTTCCAGGAGGTATTACTAGGCAATCATTCTTGCCATCAGCATCCCCCACCCCCCAGCACCAGCTATTTTCATAGCCCAGTGGCTTCTCAGGCACCCTGCCTAGGAATGAGTGATTCTACATGAATGAATTTTTTAAGATAACACATTTAAGGGCCAAACTTATTGTATTTCAATAGAAATCTTTCTAAAAGGATTCACGTTCCTCCACGCCAAATTAAACAGAGTATGCAGATTAGAATTCAATTAACTGAAAGATGTGGGGTCATTCATATGAACAGCAAAACTGAACTGAGTTGCAAAATACCTATGACCTTTGAGCATGTCTGCAGTGCGAAGTTGTCTTCTTTCACAGCTTTATTAAAAACCTCTTCCTTTGATGCCAAAATGTTCAGTGGTCACTTTTTACTTTCTTCAAATCAATGATAGTATAATGTAAGGAGCCTTACCCTTTGATTGTCACTCAGTTTCCTTGTCTGTAAAATAGAGTGTGTGGGGAAAGAATGTGACATGGGGAAACACTGTGTAGACCATAAAGGTTAAGGTAGCCGGGCGCAGTCGCTCGCGCCTGTAATCCCAGCACTTTGGGAGGCCGAGGCGGGCGAATCACAAGGTCAGGAGATCGAGACCATCCTGGCTAACGAGGTGAAACCCCGTCTCTACTAAAAAAAATACAAAAAATTAGCCAGACATGGTGGCAGGTGCCTGTAGTCCCAGCTACTCAGGAGGCTGAGGCAGGAGAATGGCGTGAACCCCAGAGGCAGAGCTTGCAGTGAGCTGAGACTGCGCCACTGGACTCCAGCCTGGGTGGTGGAGTGAGACTCTGTCTCAAAAAAAAGAAAAAAAAAAAAAGGTTAAGGCATCATATATTCTCTGTCACTTTTTGGATTTGTATTTCTGAGGTCTTGAAAAAACAGGTGTTGAGATTTATGCATAAATGTCATTTGATGAATATTTACAAGAGCCTACAGGATGTTAGATGCGGTACTAGAAAGATAGAAATAAAATGTCTAGGAACTTAGAGTCTAGTTGTTAAACTCATAATTGGATCTGGAGCAGGAACGAATATGGTTTTGAATGAGGTGCTCGATGATCTCTCAAGAACAGAATGCTAATCATCTCATCCCTTGAACGTGCCTCTTTCCGTGTGCCCCATCTCAGGAGGGTACCACCATGCACCTGACTGCCCAAGTCCTGTGATTCATCCCTGAACCTACCTCCCTACCCTCCCTTATAACCAGTTACTTACCAAATGCAGTTAGTTCCATCTCCTAAATACCCTTCAAACACACTAAGGCTGTCCTGATTAAACCCCTCCAATTTCTGATCGGAACTACGGCTTCCAATGTCCTTTCCAATCCATCTTCCACAGCTCTGCCACAGTGATTTTTCTAAAACACAAATCTGGCTATGTTGATCTCTTGCTTAAAACTCTTTCAGTCTCCCCATCCTCCCTCCCCTACAAATATCTCTCAGCATGGGGTATAAAGATCCTTCAAAATGTGGCCCTTGGTTCATCTTGTAATACTTGCCCAAACACCCCAGCCATACTGAACCCCCTGCAGGGGCCTCAGATCTCTCCAAGGCTAACTCTTATTGGCTATCCTTCGGTCTCGTCTCTTCTACAGAGCTTCCCTGGTAGCTCCCGTCTCCTCCACTGAGTTGTCTCCTCTGTTCTCCCACCACCTTGGCCACACTTTAATGATAGAATTTATATGGCTACAAACATCGTTAAATACCACATCGTAAATACCCATTTATGTGAGTGGCTGAAATGACAGTCACTGTCCTCTGAGAGCCCAGGCCATCGTCTCATACCACTTACACTACCTGCAGTTTAGTGATCTGCATATACGACTGTTTACTTGTCTGCCTCCCTAATAGAGTAGCGGCTCTTGAATGGTGGCAAGAGCATCTTATTCACTTTCCATTCCCAGTACCTAGCTCTGGGATTAACACAGGTTTACAGAATGACTTCTGGGCTATCATCAGTGGTTTCCAAACTATAATCTATGGAACTCTTAGCTCTCTTATGCAGGTGTGTGGGAAAGGGGGTGGAGATCTAAATCTCCCATCCTCTGGCCAAATCAAAATAGCTTCATGTTCATCTATTTTATAGGTTGGGTTTTTGAGCAACATAAAGGGGTCAAGCGCTTTTAGAAATGTGTGAAAATAGCCGGGCGCGGTGGCTCAAGCCTGTAATCCCAGCACTTTGGGAGGCGGAGACGGGCGGATCACGAGGTCAGGAGATCGAGACCATCCTGGCTAACACGGTGAAACCCCGTCTCTATTAAGAAATACAAAAAACTAGCCGGGCGAGGTGGCGGGCGCCTGTAGTCCCAGCTACTCGGGAGGCTGAGGCAGGAGAATGGCGTGAACCCGGGAGGCGGAGCTTGCAGTGACCTGAGATCCGGCCACTGCACTCCAGCCTGGGTGACAGAGCGAGACTCCATCTCAAAAAAAACAAAAAAAAACAAAAAAAAACAGAAATGTGTGAAAATCAACTACTGTACCAATGGGAAGATACAATCTGATTTGCAAATGTCTTTTAGAAATACTATTTTTTATGCAAATAAAAACCACAATGAAATGTCAACTCATATTTTGTTAGGATGGCTATTATAAAAAAGTCAAAAGGTAACTAGGGATGGTGAGGATGTGGAGAAAAGGGAACCCTTATACACTGTTCATGGGAATGTAAATTGGTACAGCCATTATGGAAAAACGGCACGCAGGAGGTTCCTCAAAAAACTAAAAATAGAACTACACTATGATTCAGCAATCCAACTTCTGGGTATATATCTAAAGGAAATAAATCACTATCCTGAAGAGACATCTGCACTGCCATGTTCACTGCAGCATTATTCACAATAATCAAGATACGAAGACAACCCAAGGATCAGTCAATAGATGAATAAAGAAAATGTGGTATGGATACACACACCAAAATGGAATCTTACTCAGCCTTAAAAAAGGAAATCCTGTCATTTGCAAAAGCATATGAACCTGAAGGTTCAGACAGATGAACATGCTAAGTCAGTCAGACACAGAAACACAACAACTGCATGATCTCACTTAATATGTGGAATCTAAAAGAGTTGAACTCATAGTAGCAAAGTAGAAGAGTGGTTACCAGGGGCTTGGAGGGTGCGGGAAATGAGGAGGTGTTTGTCAAAGGGTACAAACTTACTTTTATAAGATAAATATAGCATGGTGATTTTAGTTAATAATCCTGTATTATATATTTAAAATTTGCCAAAGGAGTAGATTGTTAAGTGTTATCACCACACACACAGACACATACACAGTAACTGTATGTGGGGTTGGATATATTAGCTTGATTGTGGCAATCCTTTCACAATGTATATGTTTATCAAAACATCACATTGTACACCTTAAATACATACACTATTTGTTAATTGTACCTCAATAAAGCTGGGGAAAAATATAACTTTCACATTCCACAAGGCACAACTGTATTCAAAACTTACGTGTATCTTTACTTTGTCTCTTATTTCTTTCTTCTTGTTCTTGATCAAAGAAAGCAGCATAAGAAGAGGGTGAGAGAGAGAAAATGTTGCCATATAGGGGCAGTCTCCTTCAATCAGGAACAGGTGGTTTATCCTAGAGTTTATTTGGAATGCATATGATACTCAAAACACAGTGTCCCTTGTAGGAGCACTGTAATAATGCCAGGGTTCTGGGCCAATAGAGAGGTAGCACTGTGGCAAGCCACAGCTGTAGGAAGAGGCCTTTGTGCCTAGTGTGGGGGAGAGATGCTGGCTTTCTCCATTAGGTTTGAGAAGGACTAAAGTGGATTTGCTTAAGATGGAAACAGACTTTCTTGACAAAACCCCCTGAATTCAACAGCTCATCATTACAAAATCCCACTTATAAAAGTGTATGTCTTCTGCAAGTTCTTATGACTCTAACCATAAAACTTAATGAAGACGTAAGAGAGCCTCCACTATTTACTTATCTGCCTGGCTGGCATATGCACATCATTGTGGTGGTGCTAAAAAGAATCATTATTAATAGAGACAGTCATCTACCCTACCAAACACCTGGACTCACAAGAGGCCTCACATGGACTCTCCACTTGGACGTGGCTCCCCTGATGCTTTCTAGAAATGCTAGTGAAGATGACCGGTGGTGGAAGGAGGCACTGTTTGATGCCAGCCCAGCCTGGATGCTCAGTGAAGAGGATGGAAGTTAACCACATGGCTAGACACTTCTACCTATGTGAGTCAGGCTGACTAAGGGGCAGCTAACATTTCTGTTCTAGAAGAGGGTGACACTGAACAAAGTGGGATGAGAAAATGGAGGCCTGGGAAAGGGAGGAGAAAAATGAGGGAAGAGCTTCCTTTATAACAATATCACTAAAAAGCCTCTAAAGGCCGGGTGTGGTGGCTCACACCTGTAATCTTAGCACTTTGGGAGGCTGAGGCGGGTGATCACTTGAGGTCAGGAGTTTGAGACCAGCCTGGCCAACATGGTGAAACACCATCTCTACTAAAGATACAAAAAAAAATTAGCTGGGCGTGGTGGTGTACACCTGTAATCCGAGTTACTTGGGAGGCTGAGATGGGAGGATTGCATGAACCCAGGAGGCGGAGGTTGCAGTGAGCCAAGATTGTGCCACTGCACACTTTAGTCTGGGCAAACAGAGCAAGACTCCATCTCAATCAATCAATCAATCAATCAATATTTAATAGCTAGCTTCTAAGATTCTCCCTCAGTCTCATTTCTCCTACTACCCATCTCAATAGAACTGTCTTAGAAAAAAATACAGATTTCAACATGTCAGACCTTCCAATCATCTCCCTTGGCTACAGGGCAACACCTACGCTTTTTGGTACAGCATTTGAGATGCTCCATGTATTTTTTTCTAGCTTCACTTTGGGCCAACTATTCGTCTTCAAAACTGCCTCACACTTAGACACCTATGGTTGTGTCCCTCCCTCTGCTGGGACAATCTTCTCCCCACTTTCATTTTGTGAATATCAAGGTATTTCCAAAGCCCAGCTCAAATATCATCTCCTCTCTGATGCTTTGCTAGCTTCCCACATCTTCCAACCTTGCACAGCACTGTTTACATGGCTTTATTATCGTTTTTAACATAATGAATCAAATCTATTTCATGAGTTTGTCTTCCACTAGATCATGAAGTCATCCAGCACAGGGATTTATCCCGGCACCTGGTAGAGATCACGACCCAAGCAGGAGCTCAATAAATGTCTCTTGAAGTAAATAAAAATACAAATTTTTCTAGCTGTGGTAGTCTTCTATGAAATGGAATGTGGTTTAAGAGTGTCTTTTCTTTTCTTCTGCTGAAGCCCATCCTATCCAGCCAAGCAACTAAACTCAGGCCATCACAGAGAAACTTTGCTTTCTATTTTTCTCTTTGACATTGAAAATTTAGAGACAATTCACAAAAAATAAAATTCACCCTTTTAAAGTAACAACCAAGTTCCAAAATATTTCTACCACCCTAAAAAGAAACCTTGTACCTATGATAGTCATTCTCAATTCCCTTCTCCCCTCCAGTCTCTGGCAATCACTAACTCATTGACTTCCTGTCTCTATGGACTTCCCTATTGTGGACATTTCATAGAATATGTGGCTTTTGGTGTCTGATTTCTTTCATTTAGCATGTTTTCAAGGTACACTCATATTGTAGCATTTATCAGTACTTCATTCCTATTTATGGTCCAATGTGAACTTCTGGATTCTTTTCTACATTTGGGCTATTATGAATAATGCTGCTATGAACGTTCATGTATAAGTTTTTATGCGGACATATGTTTTCCATTCTCTTGAATGAGTATTTACCTAGAGGTGGAACTGCTCAGTCATATAATTGTTCTATGTTTAGCTTTTTGATGAATGGTCAAGCTGTATTCCACAGCAACCATGGAACCATTTTACATCCCCACTAGCAATTTATGTGGGTTCCAATTTCCCCACATTCTTGTCACCACTTGTCATTTTCTGTTTTTCTTTTTTTCTTTTTTTTTTTATTACAGCCATCCTAGTGGGCATGAAGTAGTGTCTCATTGTGGTTTTGATTTGCATTCCCTTAATTAATTGTTGAGCATATTTTCATGTGCTTATTGACCACTTGTTTATCTTCTTCAGAGAAACGTCTATTTAAATCCTCTCCCCATTTTTAAATTGGGCTATTTGTCTTTTTATTTATCATTGAGTTGTAAGAGCTCTTTATATATTCCGAATAGCAGGCCTTTATCAGATATACGATTTGCAAATATTTTTTCCCATTCTGTGGGTTGTCTTTTCACTGTCTTGATAGTGTCCTCTGACACACACAAGTTTTTAATTTTGATAAGGCCCTCCTTTTGTTTTTGTTTGCTTATGCTCTTGGTGTCATAGCTAAGAAACCATTGCTAACCTAAGGTCATGGAGATTCACATCTATGTTTCCTTTTGAGAGTGTCATAGTTTTTACTCTTACAGTTAAATCTTTGATCCATTTTTTGAGTTAATTTTTGTGTATGATGCAAGGTAGGGGTCCAAATTTATTCTCTTACATATGGATATCCAGTAGTCTCAGCACCATTTGTTGAAAAGACTATTCTTTTGCTACAGAATGGTCTTGGCATCCTCATCAGAAAACAATTGACCATGCATATATATTTCTGGACTTTGAATTCTATTCCATATGTCTATCCTATACCACTACCATACTATCTTGATCAGTGTAATTTTGTAGTAAGTTTTGAAATCAGAAAGTATAAATCTTGCAACGTTGTTTTCCTTTTTTTTTTTTTCAATGATTGTTTTGGCTATTCTGAGTCCCTTGCATTTCCATGGGAATTTTAGGATTAGTTTATCCATTTCTGCAAAAAAGCCTACTGGGATTTTAATACGATTACACTGAATCTGTAGATCAATTTTGAGAGTATTTCCGTTGTAACAATATTAAGCCTTCCACTTCATGAACATAAGATTCCTCTCCTCTCCTTTTTCCTTTTTTTTTCCTTTTTGTGTTTTTTGAGAGGGTGTCTTGCTCTGTCACCCAGGCTGGAATGCAGTTATCTTGGCTCACCACAACCTCCGCCTCCTGGGTTCAAGTGATTCTGCCTCAGCCCCCCGAGTAGCGGGGATTACAGGTGCCTGCCACACTGCCTGGCTAATTTTTGTATTTTTAGTAGAGACGGGATTTCACCAGGTTGGCCAGGTTGGTCTTGAACTCCTGACCTCACATGATCTGCCTGCCTCAGCCTCCCAAAGTGTTGGGATTACAGGCGTGAGCCACCGTGCCCGGCCTGTCTTCCGTCTTTGCACTCCTGATAGTGACCTTAGCAAAACTAAAAAGTACCATATGAAATCAGGACTTTGGGAGGCCAAGGCAAGCAGATCACTTGAGGTCAGGAGTTCGAGACCAGCCTGGCCAACATGGTGAAACCCCGTCTCTACTAATAATACAAAAAATTGGCCAGGTGTGGTGGCGTGTGTCTGTAGTCCCAGATACTCGGGAGGTTAGGACAGGAGAATCACTTGAACCCAGAAGGCGGAGGTTGCAGTGAGTGGAGGTTGTGCCACAGAACTCCAGCCAGGGCAACAAGAGCAAAACTCCATCTCAAACACAAAACAAAACAAAACAAACAAACAAAAAAAACGAAGACAGATGGGGTTATTGGGACAAAAGGTAGCCATCGACAAGAATGAGGAGTACCCATAGAGAACAGGGGCAATCACAAGAGGGCACAGGAAAAGTACTATGCAGAGCAGTATAGCCATGTAAGGCGCGTTAGCCTGGGGGCAAAGGGCTCTATACACTTCAAGAGGCCCGAGAATATCAATGTCAATGCCAAACACTCTGGCAAAATGGTTGGCAAAATTCAGTGAAAGAATAAGGTAAAACCCCACACAATTTTACAGCCCTGGAGGGCATCAATACATCAAAGTTTACATTCAGTACCATGTTCAGAACAAGGGACTAAGTCACTGAGAAAAGGTTAAATGATATTCACCACACTCCGTCAACAGGCTGCCAAGAACAAATAGATTTTAGAAACATTTCTTTCTAAAAATGCAAATTTCTCATCGCTGTCAGAGCTTACAGTCATAAATTTCAGTTATCTAGACAATAGGGGCTGACTTATTCCCCAAAGATATCAGATGGCTAAGGCTTCAGGTACACATAGACACACATCACTTATAAAGAACCAAAGCACTTTACAACGCAGGTATTCAGGGACATAGGGAGGACCTGATTACATAAGGACCTTAAGGTAAAAAGTTCTATTGAGAAGCAACTCTGAGGCACCAGATGATGTCTTTAAGCTATCAGTTACACCTCAGCTAGCCAGCGCCAATTCAGAAAAACACCACCCACCAAAATTTACTTGGACCACCCAGATTTCTGATTGGAGTTCAATTCTCCTGTTACCTTGGCTACCCTCCCAATTCCTGATCTGTGGTCTGAGTTTCAAGGTCATGATTCTTACTCCTGTTTAGTTTTTGGTGTCTTCTGTTTGGACATCTGGTAGCTAACCCTGGCTTTGTTCCATGATTCCACCTCCTGACTCCCAGATTGGCTCTAACATTCATCTTTGGCCACTCCAGGACTGGCTCTTGCCCACCTTAGTGGTGTTTTACTACATCTTCACTCTTTGCCAGACCGTAACAGGAGGTCAAGCTGAATCCACACAATAATATGTCACACTGGGCTTTGTGACAGCTATTTTGTATGTGACGCCAAATATACCCATCTTGTCTGAATTAGGCTCCCTCAGGGGAAGTAATTTTTGATCTGACTTTTCTCCAACAGGAAATAGTACATACTAGCATCAGATACCCATTTCACAATGGGGTAAATCTACTCCCAAGCAGTAAAATGGCTCAAATCCCAACTGGGCATATTCATTCACAAATAAAAGGCCTAAAAGTCAGATGCAAATGAAGCTAGCTAGCTAACCGCCCTGTGGGAACTAAAGGGGAAGACTTAGCCCTGGCAAGCAGTTAGAGAAGTTTGAGAAGTGGTTCTCAAACTTTAATGTGCAGAGAGTTACCTGGGAAACTAGTAGATTCTAGGCACGACCCCTAGAAAGTCTAATTCAGTGATCTGGGGCCAGGAATTTGCATTATAACAAAAAATTCTGATGCAATCAGTCCTTGGGCCACCCTATGAGGAACACTGCATCACAGCAATGAGAACTCTGACAGACACACAGGACAAGCGCAGTAAGTACAGGATCCCACCAATTCTTCCTCTCCGAGATGCTATGATTCATCTTGTCTAACGCAGGTCATCTGGCCAATCCTTTCCTAATACTTTTATTGCAGAATATCAGCTCAGTTCCAAGATCAACCTGGTTTTAGTAAAGACAATGTTCATTTCCCAAGTTTCCACAAGGAAGATGGTTTTAGAGTACACAGGAATAGATGTCTAAGTTACATTTTTCTCTTGACTAAGAAAGAAATGCTATGAAGAAAAATATATTGTTCTTCATCAATCTTCACCCCTTAAATAGAACATCTCCCTATGGTAATTTCAAGAGTCTCATGATTTTGCCCAAATTAAACAAGATATTTTAAATTGAATAGCAATAACTGCTACTTTAAATAAGGAATGAAAATATCTATTTGATGCAGAAAACCTTCAAATGAGCTGTCCAGAAACACATATAGTATTGGCAAGGAATGTCTTTACCTGGATGTTCTGATAGGGGCCTGGCAGACCAACGGGAGAGCCCAGGAAATACAGGAGGCTGTGCACAAAACTGGGTAGGCAAGTTTCCCCAGGCACTTCCCCAAGCAAAACTGGAGGAGGACCTCAGGAAAACCAGTTAAATTGGGAGGATTCTGATGGGGATAGTATGCTTTTGGAATATAAGATGACAGAGGATATTGATGAGCTATTAGATCCAGGAGGTCTGTCTGATATTTGAGATAATGGAGCCTCCATTTGTTTCACGACGATGCCTTCATTTTTACATCAACATGGTTTATGGCTTGTAGGGGATATATGGACTGACTGATGCAACCATTAAGGATGTTAGAGCCCCACTCTTACTATTATTGTGATATGTGTGTATGTTTGTTTTTCTCCTAGGAGGATCTTTATTTTTTCTCCCAAATCTCATAACTGGTTATGCAGATGTTTAATTGAGAGGAATAATTATGAATTACGATTTTTTTCTTTCAAACTTTCCTATCTGAATCATTTATTGCCTTTCCTCTCTAATTACAAGTGTTTTAAATATTATAAAATTCAAGTTTAAAAAAATAAACATTGCTAGTAGGCAAACCCAAGCCCAAAAAAGCTCACTTTTTAAAGAAAATGTTAATGTTTCTTGAAAGCCTTGTGTATTATAAGATTGATGATTTACAGAAAAGGAATTTAAAGTCAGAATAAGAAGTAGACAAAGTTGGTTGAGAGAGAAAGGTAGGTAGATTAGCCTCATGAAGGCAAAGGAACAGTGGAACTCAATGGAGCAGGATGATCAGAAGTAAGCTCAATTAAAATGTGAGAATACAGGTTTCCAGCCACTAGAATACACAAGATGTTAGGGGTATATTCTGAGAAAAATGCCTAACTAGGAAATTAAAGCTGAACTGTTGACCTAGAGTTTTTGAGCCTTTTTATCGCTCTGATATGCTTTGGGTAAATAACTCAAGGAAGGCAAATTTCACCCAGCTTATGCTTGCTCTTCAACTCTGACCCTTGCCTACTGAATGACTTTAAATAACTGTTGCAGAAAAAAATGATACCATTTTAATTTCCAGCTCCATCCCCATCTGGCCAGGGAGAGGGTCAATTAATATTATTGTGTTTTGTCTTTAGGGCATCTGATACCCCTGAGGACCAGCCTGCGGGACAGTCTGGTTTTGCAGGGTTTCTTGGCCAGAATCAGAAGAGTGGAATTCAGGACAAGGCCAGTTCACGTAACACAGCTCAGAGCCATACAACACAACTTGCTCCAAGGATGTTGGGCATTGTGCTTCATTAGGAAACAAAATATAAGCTTTCCACACCATTAGGAATGACTTTAGGAGTGAAAGCACATAAGACGATGCCTCACCTCATCAACAATGCACTGCAGAAGCTGGAGAGGCTGCAATGGAAAAGAAGAGAGGAAAAAGTATTAGCCTCTATGCAATATCTTTACAGTGGAGTGGAAAGAAAAAATCATTAATGCAATAAAATATAGCAAGATTAATCAACAACAGCAAACTCTTATAAAAACATTGATGCTCAGGATGTTCTATTATTTCTAATGGTACCTAATCTAATACAGGCAGTTAAAGGTTTGCATTTTCTTCAAAATGCAATTTGCTAAGTTTAAAACAAGGCATTCAAGCATGCAAAGGAAGCAGCCATCAGGAAAAAGAAAAGTGAATTTTTTTCTGAACTCATAAAGCTTACCATTAAAGATCCCTGGTTTTTCTGAATCTGAAAAAAGGCAATATGTAATTAGCATGTCATAATCAAAATGACTCACTTGGACACATTATGATCACTGAGAGAAAATTATTGCATTGCTGGTGGCAATTTGTGGGCATGTGTTAACACAATTTACATAATGAAAATACACAAATGTTAATAGCTCGCTTCTCATTTATAGGCGAAAGTCAGCAGAATGTTAATTTCACACAACACTTTTTAGTACCCTCCAGGTTGTATTAGAATAGGGAGAAAAACCATAATCCATTTCAAAAGGCTGTTTACGATTCAGATATAAATAATGTTTTATATTGCTAGATTGTGAACACTGGGCTTAATGTTGCAATCATTGCTAATGTTATGAAGCTCACTCTTTTTAAATTAAAAACCGATTTATTTAAAATTGAAATTAAATCATAGTCAGAAATTAGAATTTTGGATTCCTGCCAGTGTCTGCTCACAATTCCCTATTTTGTGAAGAAAACTTTAATTATGTGGTTGAAGTATTTGCCCCTAACTTAGGAGTGAGGTAACGACTCCACCTTTTCCAAAGTTCCTTCTGCCTGTTTCCAGGGCAGCAATGCTCTCTGGGAAAATAAAATTCATGCAAGTTTTACACTGATTTTTAGGGAATAAAAGCAGAGTCCAGTAAGAGTGTGTTTCTGATCAACATTCTGAAGGCAGGTTGCTCACACATGTAACACTGATAAACTGAATTTCTTAGAAAGCTACTAAAACGTGACACAAAAATTAATAAAACATCCACTTAGTCATTAAAGTACTAAACACTTCAATGCCTCCCCATCCAGGAAAAAAAAAGGCTACAGTTATAAACTCAATGAAAATGAAACTCCAGGTACTACATTTTCTAACAGAGAACTTTTCAGGAACCAAATACTGATGGGTCAACTATTTTCTGAGATAACTGAGCTCCAACCAGCTGGTAAAACACACGGAAACTAGTAATAATCCCTTATATGTTTTTATAGGTGTTTACAAAAATTCTTTCCCATATACTAACTCATTTGATCTGCACAACCACCCTGAGGTTGGCGGGGATGATCATCTTTATTCTATGGTGGGAAAGCTGGGCCTACCAGAGGACAGAGTCCAGGCCTGAGGCCTCAGGGCCAGGGTGTGGTGGTGCTGGGGCTCCTCCCGAGCTCCTTTCCTTCCAGCATCTGTATTACACCTGCCTATGGTCATAGAGTTATTTGAAAACAACTGGATTTATATACATTTATACTTGGTATGGTATTGTTGATAAATTATCCATTTTGACATGTTGGTTCCTCTCACCTAGACTGTGAGTTTCTCAAGAGCTGCAGCTACGTTTATGCATTTCTTTTGCATCCATGTGGCTGATCAGCACACCATTCCTCCTACTGCCTGAATGTTTTAAAGTGTTCTCCCATATATTTGTCAAATGAACATGGTGCCCACTCATTGCTCTTACTGGCTTTTCATCACTTCCTCCCCAATCACTACTTTGGGAAATCTCTGTCCCAGGTTGACTGGCTTAGTCTATGTTGATAGTCCCTGCTTAATGTTGTCCTGAATTACTGCTTATTCTGGTTCCTCCAGTCCATGAGTACTTCCAGCCAAGATTCTGCAGGTAAAGATTTATACTACAAGGGAAGGCGGAGCTGTAACCATCACCCTGAAGCAGTTAAGAATTTCAGTAACAAGCTACACCACCTTTAAAAAAGTACTGAAAAGCCTGGACAACCTCTCCTATGACATGAGATACCTATGGAGTTTGCTTCTATATATTTTTTTCAAGCATACACTGATGCTCCCCCTACCCCTACATTCCTAGTAAGAAATATCTACTTCAACAGCAGAGTTATTCGTAATGAACAAAGAATCAGAAATCCATTTCTGACATCAAAGAGAATGAGCTTCACAAATTTCCAAGAGTCAGGGGGATGACAACATTCTCTGAGGAGAACATGCAGCAAACATTCTAAGTGAGAGGTTTTGAAATGAATTCGAAATGGATTATGAAACACTGTCCCCAGTAACATATGAGTTGTGTGAATCAGATTAACTGAGGGGAGGAAACTTCCTCATGAACTGAGGTCTTAAAGAAAGCCTCTAGTTTGCCCTATTTTGCAGGTTAAAAGCTTAGTCTAAGACAACTTAAAATTGTACTATTTATGCTTGCTCTTTACTAAAAGAAAGAGAAAAACAGCAATATCAAAGTCTTTTTAAAAAATAATCTTATAACTATATGTTTTGCCCAGGTTTTTAAAGAGAGATGTTATCAGGTTTTATTATACAGTTTTGATAGCAACATATTATATGAAATCATCTTCATAAATTTGGTATTAAGGTAGCAGCGCCAGTACCTGAAATTGATTCAAAAGGCTTAAGATACTCAATTACTTTTTAACAGTTACACAATGCAGTGACTTATATCTTCTATTTCACAAGAATTTGATGATGTAACATCATTGTAATTGATTCATTTTCTCAATTAAATAAAGCTACTGTGCTTTTCTTTATATGAATGCCACATAGACCATAGAGTTAGATGAATTATCTCCTTTTTCTGTCTCAGATATATTGCCGTAAAGGCTGTATTCTGTTCCTCTGTTAATTCCACCAGAAAATTTAATGCCACAGTCATATTTTTAAAATTCTGAACTGCCATGTACTCGGCTGTATTTATATTAGGCATATTTTTCACTGCTAAACTCTTTGTTGTTTACCTTTTTCAAGATCACATTACTGTACAGGCACAGCAACCATAAAACAGACCCAAACAGTCAACCTCCAGTCATTGCCTCTGTTTTTGCACACAGTTCATGAAAAAGTGAAGCCCCTAGTTTTACAGCACATTAAAAGTGGAAGCAAAGGTCCTCAATATAAAATGTTGGCTTTGTGAATGCCTATCTTTATTCTGGGTCTGCCTTCAAAATGCTTAGCTGTGAGAGCAGAGTTCAGAGGAACACAATAATATTGTTAGGGCTGATGTACTGCCTGCACCTCACAACATATGAAATGCTGTTTATAACTAACTTGGTCCAAGCCCTCATTCCTGCTCATACATTTTGCGTGTATTGAGTGTTTTCTATGTCTAACTAGTACTTTGGGACAATGAGAGAACAATAATTGTTCCAGTCACACACTTTGTTAATCAGTTTCTAGAACTAGTAGCATTTTGATAGACTAATTAAATGAACCTCTTCCCTTTTCTGGGCATAGATTTTTTTCTTTCATTAGCTGTTAGATTCAAGATTTAAAACCACACTAATAGGGGATAGTTATGTCTCATTCTGATGTAAGACAGACTCTTATGTGTTTAAATGGGGGAAGAATGACTTCATAAAAGGCAGCCACAAGTACCAGTTAGGTCTTGGTATTATTACAGTAATATTTATCACATATTTCCTTACAAGGACTATCTAGTTAGCAATTAGAAAACTCTTATAACATGACTTATGACTGTGAAAAATGATGCTAGAAAGGAAATTGCCAATGTAAAAGTTTGCTTGTGGGGCCTCAACTATTTAGCCAATGACTCTGGTGATAAAAAGCAATTTTGGAAGTCTCACTTTATGCTTCACTCTCTGTAGAGGAGCTTTTTACTTAAGTGGTAAAACAGACCTTGCTACCAGCCCCTTTTACATTATATTCAGAGGCACAATCAGAAAACTAAAATGAATCTACCTATGTAACTTAGAGAAGACACCAGCTATAGCTTTCATTTTCTCCTTTACTCTCTGAAATTATGGCTTGCCCTGCAGCTCTTGTCTGTAAGATTTATGTATGACCTAGGTCAGATCTTCCAATATCAGTTGACAAATTTTCTCTTTACATATTTACTGCTTTTCAAGCTTGTATTATTTTCTCTTAAATAGAAAGAAGAAATATAAAATTAAATCATATGGTTGGAATTTTTAAAGAATAGCATTTTCATTTGTTGTGCTACTGGCATCACATTCTAGCTTTCTTTTTTCTCTCTTTTTTTTTTTGAGACGGAGTCTCACTCTGTTGCCCAGGCTAGAGTGCAGTGGCGCAAGCTTGGCTCACTGCAAGCTCCGCCTCCCGGGTTCACACCATTCTCCTGCCTCAGCCTCCTGAGTAGCTGGGACTACAGGTGCCCACCACCACGCCCAGCTAATTTTTGTATTTTTAGTAGAGACGGGGTTTCACTGTGTTAGCCAGGATGGTCTCGATCTCCTGACCTTGTGATCCACTCGCCTCGGTCTCCCATAGTGCTGGGATTACAGGCGTGAGCCACTGTGACTGGCCTACATTCTAGCTTTCAATGTTGAGTTCTTTATTCTTTTTTTTTAAACTTCAAATTTTAGGAGCTGTGGCTATTTTGCAAGGACTCTCTTTTCAAATCAGATGCATGAAGCTATAACCCTGGCTAAATATAAACAGGGATTATGGAAAACTGAGACATTCATATTCTAAATGAAGAATTATGATCTAAAGTATTTATGAAGGGAAGGAACCCCAGAGATGATTTAGTTCAATCTACTCACTTTGCTTTAAGGAAGCTGAGGCTCAAAGGGGAGCAGCGCCCAAAGTCATAGATAGTGCCTGGCCTGACCCTGACAGTTGGGTTAGGAGGCTGTCCACTGTGAGAAAAATGCATGAACTTTGGAGTGAGAAAGACCCCTGGGATTCTACTCAGATGCCCATGGTCCCCAGAAGCCCCCTCCCTTCAGTGGGGCTTAGAGCTCTCGTCTACAAAGTGAAGGAATGAGCTAGAGAAGCCCAAAGATTCCTTGAAGCCAGAGCTTCCTATTCAGGAGCCATGTTTATTTTTCCTACCCAAGGAAGAAATGGTACCAGCAATCAATCTAATTTTATCTGGCACTGTGTGGGTATTAAAACTTAGGGAAATACCACTTCCAATCCAGTACAACTTGCAAAAACAAAGTGTCCATATCTCAAAAAGCCTTCAATGAGAAAAACAAAACCACTGCTACATGATAAGCTTTATATACATTGCCTAGTACCACTACCTTAAAAAGCTCCCAAACAAATTA